CCCTTCCCCCCCCCCCTTTAAAACTTAAGCTACTTAAGATGTTAATTGTAAAATTTTAAGATACTTGTAAGCAAAACTGATTCCCTATTTTCCCTCCTTCCCAATAGCCTAGCAGCAGGCGTTCAGTATTTCCTCCTTAGCTTTTTTTGATAAACTTCCTTTCTGGCATGTAACACCTCCTGTTGCCAGGATCCTGAGGCTCTCAGAAATTGCAGCTCTTGCCAAATAACATTTTGTATGACTGTTGCTATTGCCAAGATGTAATCTTGACATTTAAGTGTTGTCTAATCCTCAAAAGCTATGTCCTAGAGGCCTGTTAACTTCTTAAAGTATGTTCTGTAGGCACGCATCTGCCAGATAAACAATTAGATAATCTTTCCTGGGATAGCAACATAAGCAATTGCACTGTCTTTTGTCTTGATACGGTAGTCAGTTCTGTATTAAATGTGTAAGCAACTCTATATGCAACAGAAATAAGTACACTTAATTGTAAATTCTCTATGCCACTTTATTTGCCTCTTAAAATTTATTATTATAGTATGCTTGTTACTTTAGTGTCATGATCTCTCTAAATGTGTTATTGATAGTGTTCACTTAGCATTTAAAACCTAAAACCAACCTGAGTTATTGAATTGACAGTAATAGAAATGACAAGTAATAGGTAGAAGCTTTTCCTTCTTTTACCGTAAAGCTAGCAGAAAACATGTGGTGATTGCTGATTCATAGTGGCACATGTGACAGAGTTCCTGTAAGATTTTTCTACTTTGAATTTTTCGTCATGGTTCTTTCTTGTGATAGACCGGATTTTTAATTCCTCCGTTATTGTTTTGAGTATGGTGGGATATTATCCCCAAATTGTCCCTGAGGTTAGTTGCAGGACGGTTGCACTTAACATTGGAAAAGTATTAGGACATCTTTGTTATGTTGAAGGATTCTTAGTTACTTTGAAGGATTTGGTTCATAGGAGACAGTGTCTTTATGATCTGTCTTGAAGGTGATTGTGCAAGTGACTTTCAAACTAAAGCAGCGTGCTAGGTCTTGTCATGGGAATAAATGGATGCAATATGAGTGATGAATAAGTGAAAGAGCTGGGTGCCATCAGATGTCATATGTGAATGGGTTGTAAAACTTGGTAGCTCTGACTTCTGTATGGACTACTTAAATATTTAGTTGCAGAACAGCCTTGGCTCTGTATGTCCGACTTTTTTTCAGAGGCTGTTGGAAATTAGCATTTTTGAAAGTGAATATGAGAACATTCTCTGCGTGAGTTGGCAGTTTTGTCATTTAATTAGTTCTTTGTTCATGCTGTCAAAGCTAGACTAAATTCTGCTGAATGTTTTTGCTAAGCTTTGATTTATATTCTTCTGTCTTTTTAGTTACGAAAACGGAAGACTTAAGCTTGAAGGTTTTTTCTTTTCTTTTTTAAGGTATATGTTGGTGAGCTTCCTCAAGATTTTCTTCGCATTACCCCAACCCAGCAGCAACAGCAAATCCAACTGGATGCCCAGGCAGCTCAGCAGCTACAATATGGAGGACCAATGGGTACAGTAGGCAGACTCAGCATTACTGTAGTACAGGTATAAATTGTACCATCTTTGTACAATTAAGTAATCGTAATTAATAGAATTAATCTTTTTTGATTGTTGGCCACAAAAATATTTGTATTGGAATGTGAGGTACTAAATTACTTCTTTGTAAGGGATGCGTAATTTTTAAAGTTTTTGTAGCTTCGTGTTTCTATATGTCAGCTTTTTTCCAGTTTCGTGTTTCACAGCTTCATTGTGCATGGTGCAGCAATTTCCTGTAAACCTTGCTATTATAGCACATGATCAAGTAAACTCATGGTTTTTTACAGTGCACAGTTTTCTCTGAAGACTTCTGTTAAGACGGCTTAAAATTGGAACACTTAAAATTGGAAGACATTAGCAATTTTGAGAATATTGTAGGGAACTGCAATTGCCTTATGTATTTTTCCTTAGGTGACTGCTCTGTTCCATCTCCGTTTCTTGTAATGCATTTGCTGTTTTTCCTAGTGCTTTCTGCAGGTTTTCTTCTTAATCACAAGTGCATAGTCCTAGCTCTTTATTTTCTGCCTCCTCTTTTGCCTTGTTATCCTTTCTTTTATCTTGGCAGTACTGTATTACTGCATCCATTATGCAGAAGATTTTAGTTTTTAAAACTTGTCTGTCTTAAACAGAATGGTGTTTATCTACCTTAGCATACTGGATATCCTTCATGTTAACACACTTTATCTATTTACAAATGGTATTTTCAAGCCATTTCTAAAGCATACCAAAGAGATGTTTAGCCTCAAATTTAGCACTGAGTCTGGAATAATATGTATATGTTTGCAGCTTCCATGGTGAGGTCCGTATTGGGGAGTAAACCTGTATAGGGTCTCTCAGGAAAAGAGGCACTTATCCTTCCTTTCTATGTCTTTCACTGCTCAGTTTGCTGCTTCACAGCCAGTGTCCTTTCTTTGGAAACTGAGGGTAATGCTTTTTCAAACTTAATTACTTCTAAGGTCTAGACACTTGAACTTATTCATTGCATTCAGCTGCAGCCCTCTTTCTAGTCCTGATGAGTTTCCCAGTCCGTGTGTTCAGAAAGTGTAAGACTGGAAGCTTCTTCTGCAACTTTGAACAGCAGAAAAATGTTACTACTTTCAGAGCGTAGTGGTAGAAGCTTTAGCATATTTTTTTTTTCCAGAGCTAGGAGTAGATGATTCAGGTTAAACCTCAGGCCTATGAGGAAACAAAACATTTATCAAACAATGTGCCATGCCTCTCTTAAGTCTCTAGCAGTTTATACCAACTTGTATGCTACTCCATAGGTTGTTCATCTTTGGTTATTTGCTTGAACAGCTGAAAGTGCTTTTTGTCACCGGATGTTGATGCAATCAGTAGAGTGGTTATGTACAGAAGGTGCTTGTGCAGACAATAAAGTATTTATCTTGCTTGAAGAATAAAGCCTAATGGCTGTTCTTCATGCCATGGCTAGAAGTAACCACTTATTATAGAATCAGAAGATATCTGAGGTTAGAGGAGACCTCTGGAGTTTATTTTGTCCAAACCTCATCCCACCCCTACCACCCCCCACCAGCCCCTTAATCGAGGATTAAGGAGGATGTTATATACAAGGAAAGGCTGAGAGAGCTGGGGAAGAGTCCTGAGGGGGAATCTTATCAACAAGTAGTCCCTGCCTGCATGTATTTATGAAGATGACAGCTAGGCTCTTTTTGGTGCTGTCTAGAGGAAAGACAAGAGAAGTAGTGAGCACAAATTGAAGTACAGCAAACTCTATTTAAATATATGAAAAACCTTTTTACTGTGAGAGTTGTCAAACATCAGAACAGGTTGCCCAGAGGGATTGGGGAGCTTCCATCTGTGGAGATACCCAGAACTTGCCTGAGCTTTGAGCAGGGAGCTTGGGCTAGACAATCTCTAGAGGTCCCATCCAACCTCAGCCATTCTGTGATTCTGTGAAACCATTAAATGTCTTAGTGGCCCTTTGCTGGACTTGTTTAAGTGTGGCCATGTCTTGTGTTGAGCACCCCAGAACTAAAGAGAACAGGACTCCAGATATGGTCTCACCAGTGCTGAGTAGAAGGGATCATCTTCATTGATCTGCTAGCTGTGCTTTTCCTAATGCAGCCCAGGATGCTGTCTGTTGTCTTTGCTGCCAGGGTGCATTGCTGGCTGATTTCCAACTTGGTGTCCACCATTTCCAACTTGGTGTCCTTCTCAGCAAAGCTACTCTCAGCTGGTTGGCCCGCAGGCTGTAGTAGTGCATGTGGTTATTCCTCCTCAGGGGCAGAATGTTTTAATTTGTTGAACTTTGAGATTCCTGTCTGTGCACTTTTCCAGCCTCTCAAGGTCCCTCTGAATGGCTGTATAACCCTGTAGTGTCCCAAGAGATAGTCTTCTGTACCTGTCTGAGAGTTTATGCAAGAATGCTGTGGGAATCTTGGCTGCATATTGAGGCATGTGGCATTCTGGATAGGAGACTTACTGTGGCATAGTTAACCTGTGGAACATGAAAAGATGGTTGAAGGCTTTTATATTTAAATATGTGTTGATAAAGTATATAGAGCAGCATGTCTTAATTCTGTTACTAGTAAACTGGTGAAAGACCAGAAAATGTTTTTAGGAAGGTGATTTACTGCTTTTTTTTTTCCTTGCAGATGTATAGGAATGGTGGTGAATTTGTCTAAGTTCACAGCTGATTGTGTCTGCTTAAATTACTACACAGACAACTTATATGCTCTTTTTTCTTTTGGTGAGGTTTTGTGGTGAGCTGTTTAATGTCAAGACTTCAGAGTCTAGAGAGTGCATAATTTAGAGAGTGCATAATTTAGGTGCCAACTCTCCTACTTTAATCATTACGTGCACGTTTACAAGGAGCAGTTTGAGATATTTCTCACTAGCTCTAATGTATGAATTACTGAACCAGCATGTGCCTTGAAGGAGAAAAGGGCTTTCCAGGCCAGAGCTGCAGCCATTGTAACTAAACCTTACACAAGTCTGAACTGTTCCAGTTCTTTAAATGTCCTGTACGCAGGAGGCATCCTAGGCACCATATTATGTCACTTGTCTTACTATAGTAAGAACTATAGATTGCTTAGTACAGGCCAGAGAAATACCATGTCCAAAAAGTCCGATTTCTACTTTGACGTCGCTATGCAACAGTAATCAGTGTTGTCTTCAGAACTGTCATCAACTTGTTTTGTTCTATTCCTCTGATGTTACAGCAAAAGTATGTTGGATATCTTCTGATTCTGTACAGCATGTGTTTTTATAGTAACATAGAACTTAAGTTGCCCACTGAACTAAGCAATATCAAATGCACACACTGAATTAAGTAAGTTTTTTAACCACTTTGAAAACTGTGATCTAGATTTTAGCTCAACTGAACTGCTTTTGCAGTTTGTGGTTTTGTATTGTGTGATATTCTTGAAGCTACTGGATTTCTGTATTTCAACCATTAAAAGTACTTCAGTGAAAGAGGACAGGCTACCTATCACGTTAAGTTTATGATTGTATTTTGGAGAGCAGGTGCCTAGGCAAAAATTGAACTTACTACTATTTCCTTGTAATCATGTGTCTTTTGGTTTGGTATGAAGTAACTTATATTAGCTATGGTGAAGGTGTGTATTTTCTGCAACAGGTTAAAAAGGGGTTCCCTTTTCAAGTCTCCCAGACATTTAACAGTGTCAGTGGCCATTCTATGTTTTAATCAGAATGCTGGCGTTTTTTCATTTTTTTTCCTTCCTGTATACCTCATAATTGAATCTAGTCCTTTGTTCAATATCTGATTCTCTTTGTAAACTAATAGTAATTAACTTCTCAAGTTAATGTAAATATTAAACACTTACAGGCTTTTTTCTTTCCAGGCAAAACTGGCAAAGAACTATGGAATGACCCGCATGGATCCATACTGTCGAATACGTCTGGGGTATGCTGTGTATGAAACTCCAACAGCACATAATGGAGCCAAGAACCCCCGCTGGAACAAAGTGATTCAGTGCACTGTTCCCCCGGGTGTGGACTCTTTTTACCTAGAGATATTTGATGAGGTCAGAACTACGATATTTTTTCCCTCCTTCCCCATCGCCTGTTTGGATTGAAGTTTGGGTTAAATCTTGCATAGAAGGGTTGAGTTACCGAAGGCTGTTGTCTGTGCTCTCTGGGAGATGCCAAAAATTTTTCAGAATCCCAAGAGCAGCAATGCATAAGGCTTCACTCTTCCCCAAGTATGTCAGAGCTATTACTTTTCCTTTGGTAGTGGATGAGGGGCATTAGCAGGGTTCACTGCAAAGGAAGAGAAGTGAAAGTGTCTGAGTGGTGTTTAAGCTCCTCTTCGCAATCAGAATGCCCAGCAGCTTTATATTCTGTACTGTCCCTGTTACAAATAGCTTGTTTACACAATGCAGTTTTACTCAGGAATTCTTCAGTGTTATTCTAACCCAGGAGGAGTGTGGAAGCTTTCCCAAACTCGGAAATGCTGAGAGTAAAACTTTTGAATATAGACTGCATGTCATCAGTAGGATTTGTTAGCAGAAACATAACTTATTCTCTTCTGTACTTGTCTGAATTTCATTCCAAATGGGCATGTAGTCACTTGTCTATGATTTGCTGAAGACACTGTGGTAATAAATACCTAACCTGTGAACAATTTGATTTGCTTAGTGACTGAAAGGGTCTGATTAACAGCTCTGGTAGGTAATCTGCTCTACAAAGCTTTTCTAGAAGAGCACGATCTTGAATTCTAGTATGTTGTTCTGCTAGATGATGCTGTTGTTGGCAGCAGGGGATATGTGCCTGCATCTCAGCTGGTCCAGTTCAGGATATCGACTTTGACTTAGAACAAACATACCTTCCTGAACCGTTTAAACTAAGAGGCTACAACTGAGGCTGAAGTCTCTGATTTGCCTTTTTTTGCTGCCTCCGTTACAGTGTGTAGTAAAACTTGACACTGCACCAGCTGTGTGGTCATTACACAAGTGAGGCTTTTGGATGCCATTTTGTGGGCTTAGTAGGTTGGCTGACATGTCTGTTTCATTGCTGCAAGAAGGGTGGCAGATCAGTACTTATATCTGCTCTTGGAAGCTGTTTACATTCATTTAATGGCCTCTGATATGATGTTGCTAGATTGACACAGACTATGCTCATATTAGTATGTTGTATTTCTAGAAGTGTTCTACTTCAGGCTTTCAATTTCTTATTATTAAATATCTGCCGTGAATCTATAATCCCACTTAAAGCATCATTTGTCTTTATGGGAAAGGAGATGGCTAAGGTGTTTACTGACACTTTAGTAATTTCCAAAGGAATAGCTTAAATATAAAATTAGCAAAATGAAATAGCATAAAACTGAAGGAAGTGTTAGTCAAGAGTGATTTTAAGAATTTTTTGTTTCAGGACAATTAACTTGGTAGTACTTTTTCAATTATGTTGCAGCGGGCCTTTTCAATGGATGACCGCATCGCTTGGACACACATTACAATTCCGGAGTCTCTGAAGCAAGGAAATGTGGAGGATGAATGGTATAGCCTGAGTGGAAGGCAGGGTGATGACAAGGAAGGGATGATTAATCTGGTGATGTCGTACACGGTAAGCCAAGTTTGGGTTGGGAGGAGGAAGGGACAGAAACTTCTTGGGTAGTGGGAGTGAGATACTTTAGATGGAAGTAGAAATAGTTCCATTGTACCTTACTGTGTGTCTGTGTGTGTCATCATTTAAAATAGTCATACTTAACTTTGGGAATAGCAGGCAAAAATATTAAAGGCAGTGAATACCTATTGGTGAGGTGGTAAATAGGTAGTCATTTATCTGGTTTTGCAGTTACAAAAAGTCAGCTTATTCCTGTGCTAATAAAAGCATAAAAAAGAAATCCTCAGTCAAATTTTCCATTGTAATTTCTAACTTAATAATAGTTTTTAAAAAGCTTAATGGAATCTAACAACGTATTTTTTCCCCCTAAATCATTAGAAAGTCATTTCAGTTTAAAAGTAAAAATAGTAGAAACTCTTCTCTGTCTTAAGTCTTTCTTGGATAGTTTGTATGCTCTTTCTGATGACTTTGGTTTTTTACTTCCATTCTTGTTCGTTTGGTGCTACTGGTCATAAACTGCTGACTTACACTGGTCCGTTCAGCAGCTCATGGACTATTCTCTCATCTATCACCTTTCTCTTAAGTAGCGGTTTGATAGCATGTGCAGCCCTGAATGCTTCCTACTATACATGTACATTGTCCAAAGTTCCAGGTGCACATCTGAGGACAGATGTTCCATGCTGTTTGAAATTCACATTCTGCCCCACATCTGTACAGTTGTTCCATTACACTTACAAGAAATGAGTGTGTAATTAACCTTTAAAACTGTCTGCCTGTGAATGTATTGTACATAAAATCTGACCTTTTAATATTTTCCAGGATCAGACTGAACAGGAATTGTGGTAGTGAAAGGGAATGGAATTAAATTGATTTTTTGTTTAAAGTACTTCAAAAATAATCATTTTGAGCTAAAATTTGCTTCTAGAAGCAGTATACTACTTCTAATAAATTTCAGGTTTGCTCTAATTTTTCCTTTATGATGAATATGTTGTATAATCCTTTCTTAGGAATAAGGCATGAAGCTGATTAAACCCGTATTTTAAAATAAATTGCTTCAGTAACAAAATTTCAGTGGCAAATTTTATCAAACTATTGCAAAAGGCTAATTTGACATGATGTGTTTATATTGATGTACAGACAAATTGTCATTTTAAAAGATGATTGTTCAGTTAATTTGCTAGAGATTTTGCTTAACATAGATTAGCACTTAGTAGAGTAATACTGTAATATTGAACAACATGGAACATGGATTTGCAATGTAATGATTTTTTTGCAAATATTGTTTCAATTGTTTAATTTGCTGGTTTTAGTTTTCTTCTATTTCTTGAGTAGTTCTAATCTGTCTGTTGTGCTTTTTGTGTCAAGTCTTTGCCAGCTGCCATGATGATGCAGCCCCAGCCAGTGGTCCTGATGCCCACTGTGTATCAGCAAGGAGTTGGATATGTGCCTATAGCAGGTATGTTTTCTCTCCTGGAAGGCTCGTAAAACTTCCAGATGAAGGGTTTTGCAGAAACAGCTACCAAATTTCTCCTGTTTTTTGGAATGTAAAGGAAGCTATAAATAATTTTGTCTATGACCACTTTTACCATTATACATTTTTGGGAAGAGTGAGCAAATTAAGTGTAGGTCTACTTTCAGTCTTGTATTCTGTTTAAGGGAGCTGTATGACTTTATTAAGTGGATTAAAATGACTTTCAAAGTTGGATCAATTAGCTTGAAGGCCTCTCTTTTTGAGTATTTATTTCAGATTTATGTCAGGTCACTGAATAACTGAATATCTATCAGGCTGCACTCTCATATAACGTGCTTATTTAAATGGTGGCAATCCATGTGTGAAACTCTTCAGACTTCAGGAAGTGCACCCAATGACATGTGCTATCATAACTGCAGCTTTGGTAGCCTGTAAAGGGATTGGCTCTTCTGTGGTCTTTGAAGATGCTTTGTTGGAAACTTGCTACACCGCATGTGAAGTGTGTAGCACAGCGAATGAAAAATGTTGGGGAGTCTGAGACAGTTACGTAAATACATCAAGAAGAGCTAAAGCAGGTATTGTCAATTCTCTTAGTCTATGCAAAGCAAGTTTTGAACTTGTATAGAAAGATGTGTTAAATTAGGTTTTGTAATTTTTCTATCAAAGATGAAAAGCTTAAAGTATGTAAATAAGAATTTGTTCTACTTAGATAACTGATAAGTAAGATTCACTTGGGGTTTTTTGTGTCTTTCACTTACGGCTCTTAAAAGCTCCAGTTTGTTGTATGGACATGTATTCAGTAATATGTGTACTTTTTAGGGAAATAGGGTATAATTTCACACATTTTGATTTTCTTTGCATACAAGTGTATGAGTGAGTGATAGTGTGTGACATAATTGCAGTGCTAAGGGCAGACACAACAGATATATACATATTTTTTTAGAAGACTCTATTCCTGATTGAATTTAAAATTTCACTCTCTATCAAAACAAGCATCCTCAACAGAAGACTGGATATGTAACTTAGAGTCATAACCTCCAGTTTCATTTTTACAGAGTTAAGTTAGAGTAAAACATGGAAAAGTTCAGTTACATTCTTTATTCTCTGATGAAAGCATGCAGTTTGTTTAATTTAAAGTGCATTTATTTCCATAGCTTATTTCTCAGGATTTAAGTTTTCCTTGCTTTGCCAGTGAACTATTTAAACTTGTGTAAGCATCCTGAAATGCAATTCCATTGTATAAGCCAGGTTTCTGTGTAGCTCTTCTGTGTTTGAATTAGATGCCATATATTTTTTGTTGTAGGTTCGTCACATCCCTATATACTGAAGCAGTCAGTGAACTTCAAACATACTTATCTTGTGTGTGGTTAAAAGAAAAACAATAGCTAGGGTGGTATATATAGCAATGTAATAGAGGATGTGATAGAGTTTCTTGTACAGATCAAAATGAGAATATTCCTATTGTCAAATTACTGTGCTAGTCAGAGTACAAACAGTAGAAACGAAGAAGAGACTAGTTTCTAGTATAATTGAAAGTAGAGTACTGAGGAAGCTGGCAGAGGAGCTGGCCAAGCCACTCTCCATCATCTGTCAGCAGTCCTAGTTAACAGGGGAGGATCCAGGTGACTGGAGGCTTGCCACTGTGATGACCATCTAGAAGAAGGGCCAGAAGGAGGATTCCAGGAACTACAGGCCTGTCAGCCTCACCTCGGTGCCGGGCAAGATTATGGAGTGGTTCATCTTGAGTGCACTCACTGGGCATATGCAGGACAACCAGGGGATCAGGCCCAGCCAGCATGGGTTCATGAAAGGCAGGTCCTCCTTGACCAACCTGATCTCCTTCTATGAGCAGGTGACCCGCCTAGTGGATGAGGGGAAAGGCTGTGGATGTTGTCTACCTGGGCTTTCGTAAGGCCCTCAACACTGTTCCCTACAGCATCCTCCTGGAGAAACTAGCTGCTCATGGTGTGGATGGGTGTACACTTCACTGGGTAAAAAAACTGGCTGCAAGGCCAAGTCCAGAGGGTTGTAGTGAATGAAGTTAAATGCAGATAGCGGCCAGTCATGAGCGGTGTTCCCCAGGGCTCAGTATTGGGTCCAGTCTTGTTTAACATCTTTATCAGTGATCTGGATGAGGGGATTGAGTACTCCCTCAGTAAGTTTGCAGGTGACACCAACTCGGGTGGAAGTGTTGATCTACTTGAGGGTAGGAAGGCTCTGCAGGGGGATCTGGACAGACTGGCTTGATGGGCCAAGGTCAATTGTATGAGGCTCAACAAGGCCAAATGCCGGGTCCTGCACTTGGGTCACAGCAACCCCATGCAATGCTGCAGGCTGGGGGACAAGTGGCTGGAAAGCTGCCTGACGGAAAAGGACCTTGGGGTGCTGATTGACAGCCGGCTGAACATGAGCCAGCAGTGTGCCCAGGTGGCCAAGAAGGCCAATGGCATCCTGGCTTGTATCAGGAATAGTGTGGCCAGCAGGAGTAGGGAGGTGATTGTGCCCCTGTACGCGGCACTGGTGAGGCCGCACCTGGAGTACTGTGTTCAGTTTTGGGCCCCTCAGTACAAGAAAGACACTGAGTTGCTGGAGAGTGTCCAGAGAAGGGCAACGAGCTGGTGAGGGGTCTAGAGAACAAGTCTTCTGAGGAGTGAGTGAGGGAGCTGGGGTTGTTTATTCTGGAGAAGAGGAGGCTGAGGGGAGACTATTGCTCTCTACGACTACCTGAAAGGAGGCTGTAGCGAGGCAGATGTTGGTCTCTTCTCCCAAGTAACAAGTGACAGGGCATGAGGAAACAGCCTCAGGTTGCGTCAGGGAAGGTTTAGATTGGATATTAGGAAAAATTTCATCACTGAAAGGGTTGTCAAGCACTGGAACAGGCTGTCCAGGGAAGTGGTGGAGTCACCATCCCTGGAGGTGTTCAAAAAATGTATAGATATGGCACTTTGGGATATGGTTGAGTAGGCGTGGTGGTGTTGGGTTGATAGTTGCACGTGATGGTCTTAGAAGTCTTTTCCCCTCTTAATGATTCTATGATTGTAGGCATAGAACTGAACAGATAAAACTGGTAGACCTTCAGTGTTCAAAACCGAGTACAGCAGTGTATCTTGGTGTGCAGACCTTGGTGTTCTGTTAGTTTTATATTTATCTTGATAGTATTTTTGGTAACACTTATTAAATCTACTTGGACAAGTGAAGAATAAATAATGTTTAGCAAGTGATAGTAGTGCCTGACATTTTAGCATACAGGAATTTGCCTTTGTGTAGCAGTTTTATTGATCTGTGTGTTGGAGCATTGCCCGTCTGGAAAGATCCAGCATGTTTGTTTTAATTACTGCTGTGATAATCTTCTGTATTAAAAACTCCTCCTGATTCTATGAGTTGTATTTTTAAAGCATTGCGAAGTCCCACGTCTTTATTTAAACTTTTCTTTTGTTCTGGGAAATCCTGAATGGGCTTCCTTGACTTCATAAATGCCAAACTTCTTACAAGCCACCTTTGATGTGTTTAGATTTTTGAAGTATTTTTGATTTTTTTTCTTTTTTTTTAATATTACTGTGCTTTGTGTTTGCTCTTCTAGAATTTCTGTGGGCACTATTAAAATTTCTCAAAGCACTGAGTTTTAAAGCTTTTGCATATTCACTAATCAGTGACCCACTCATAATAATTAGGTGGATGATTAGATTTGGACTTTGAAAGTGGCTTGACTTCAGCATACTTTACTGTTTTACACATTTAATTGTATTGCTTAATAAAAGTAATTTGAAATTATGAAAGGAACCAGTAGTGCATCTTGGAAGACATGGTGTATTGTCAGAATATTTTTCTGTATATTGAACTTGATGATCCTCCTGGATTCTGTAGACTCTCAGAAAGGTTCATGCGAGCTACTTGCCCAGCTCTGGTACACTTTCTTTGGAACACTGTACAGGGTTTTCTCTCTTCTTGAGACTGCTTCAAGAACGGTGATGGTAGGACATCAGTATGCTCTAGAGGAATATGTTTACCTTCTTCCCATCTTCTTAGTTCAGGTTTTTTACCTATCCAGTTGAATGAGTGTAGTCAATAAGCAGGTTCTATTTGTTTACTTCAGAAGAGTGGAAGAGCAGCACTGAATAGTTTATTACATCTGAAATGGAGGAAATTCTGGTGTTGGGCAGCACTGTTAGAATCGAAGTCTTATCGATGATGGAAATACAGTGAATGGACTAAAATGCTTGTCCAGACAATTCAACAGTTATTTGTCAACTGTCCAAAATAATTGCATTTTAAGGAGATGCAGTGTTAAGTCAAATTCAGTTGTGTCACGAAGGTCAAGCTGTTTTTTCTGTAATAGATAATTTCTGTTCAAAACTTAGTATATGTAACTAACCTTCTAATTAAGGTTGAAACAACTAATTCCTCTCACACTTACGTCTATCATACAGAGGTAAATAGTAGTAGCAAGCAGTTAATTACTGTGGTAAGCAGATAAAGCTTGAAATGCCAACACAAATAATGCTTTTTTTCCCCACATTTGACGGTAGATGTTACAGAATTGTGATGAAAGCAGAAACGGCTGTAAAGTATCCTTGCACGGTGTTAATTCATTTTAAAGTTTTTAAAAATTAAATTTCTGACAATAATGCTAGTTGCTACAAACTAGAGTTGCCATAGATTGTATCTATGGATTTGGCTTGGGAAAATTTGAATTTGTCAATCCTGTTACTCTTCTAAAAGTTGAGTTTATCTGCTGTATTTTCCCTTCCCCCTCCTCCCCAAAAGATTACTTCATTTAAGCTGTAGAATATTGTGGTATACTGGTTGCTGACAGTCCAAGCTGATCTTCTTGACAGGGTATCAAAGCGTAAGCTAATAAAAGTTAGTTCAATGAAGCAAGCTATGTTTCTTATCAGCTTAGTATTCATGGGATAGATAGGAAATCTATTTGTGCTTGGCTTATTAACACCTGTGTAAAAAGTAGGTTAAAACCCTGTGTATTTCAG